TGTATATATATATATATATGTAGTGCGACGTGTGTGTGTGTGTGTGTGTGTGTGTGCGCGCGCGCGTGTGTGTGTGTGTGTGTGTGTGTGTGTGTGTTGCGCATGTATGTATATATATATATATATATATACATATATACGCGATAGGTATGTACGCGTTGGGATCTACATATGTGCTCGGAAGCGCCCCAAAAGGCAGACGTGCCTGGCATCGACGAGGCCAGAGGCGCACCACCGCTCTCGCCGGCTCGATCTCCGTATCTCGGTAGATCGACGCCTAATGCCGCGGACACCGGTGGAGATGAGAAGAGAAACGGTGGCGCGCAAAGGGGGGAAAGCAGCGAGGGGGAGACGAGCCGCGGCGGCAGCGACGACGGCAGCGGCAGCGGCAGCGGTGAAGCGAGGCGAAACGAGAGACGCGGGGGCGGCGACGATGGTGGCGGCAGTGACGGCGGCAAGGGACGTGGGGAAGGCAGGAGGGCTTATATGGGGCCAGCCGCGGGAATATCCTTCGCCGTTCTGCGAATTAATCGCGCGACCCTCCGCCTCGACCCCCGGGTGGGTCCCCCCTCGCTTCCCCCGACCCGCCCGCTTCTCGTCTGCCCCGCTCGACCTTTCCATCAACCTTCTCCTATCCTCTTTGTGCCGCGCCTCGAATACCGACATTCGCGATTCGTCCTTGCTACGTCGGCGTCATCGTCGTCGTCGTCTTCGTCGTCGTTATCGTCGTCGTCGTCGTCGTCGTCGTCGTCGTCGTCGTCGTTGTCGTTGTCGTCGTCATCTTCGTCTTCGTCTTCGTCTTCGTCGTCGTCTTCGTCGCTGCCGCCATCGTCGTCATCATGGTCGTTGACGTCACGCAAACTCTTCGTCTTCGTTGGACTCATGTACTCGCCTTTCGTGAGAAATTCGCGAGATACCGCGAGCTTTTCTCCACAAAGCTGATATCAATTTATCTCGCGAGCGGTATCTTATATACCTTTTTTTTTCTTCTTTTTTGCCACGCGAGTTCGCGTGAAAAATCTACGAGGAGAGGTGAACCAAAGAACGCACGCACGCACGCACGCACGCACGCACGCACGCACGCACGCACCCACCCACGTTTACACGCGTGTACGCACGCGCGCTCGCACGCACGAACCCTCGTATGCACGTGTTGCGGCATGACTGTTTTAATTTTCTGCTGTCCGCGTTTTGCTACGCGTATTCGCGCCGTTACCGCCACAACTTTACTACTTAGAAGTTTCAGAATGCGAACGAGAGAAAGAGGGATGAGGAAACGGTGAGAGGGAGGAACTCTTCCCTAAGAAATGGATTCTCAGTGTATA